CTTGAAGTTACTTGAGCGAAAATGATGAAGCTTTAATTGGACCTTCAGATCTTACATCAACTACAGTGTTCTTGCCAAAAAATTCCACATCTCCTTCTTCATTGCCAACTATGAGAAAGTCACTTATTCTCTCTAAATCAGCTTGCCAAGATGAACTTGAGCTTGCTAAGGTGAAAAAGGGAACAACTGTATTGCCAAGAGGAGGAAGAGACTTAGCCAATTTTGAAATGTGAGCTTGCTGCTTGGTGACAGAATTATCTGAATGGTATGAACCCAGTTTCTTTTCAGCTTGGATGCAAAGAAAAACATTCCCAATAATATGCCCTGGTCGTTTTGAGGATGTGGATTGGGTGATGTTGGTCACAGCATTGAAGACCCTTTCTTTCTCTTCAGCATGATATGATTTCCCACTTATTGAGGCGATTCTATATAGCAGCATGGGCTGATATTTTATGAAAATAGACACCATAAAATTTGCGGCAACTCATCTTTGTATGGTAACCAATAACTTGCCAACAGAGAAATGCATGTAGCCATGTAAGATTATGGAATCTTAGGACACTTCGAGGTGAACGGCTCCCTTCACACGCATAAGCAATGCCTTGTATTTCAACCAAAGTCTGCAAAACTTTCTGTACCTCTAGTGTAGCTTTACCAATTATATGATTAGTTACCATAATAAGAGCAACATCACTTGGTTTCTTTATTACCAAGACTAAATTCAATTGTTTCATTAATAATTGTGGCTTCTTCTTGGGAGACATGCATGGGCAGCTCAATTAGAATGTTTTTAATGTGTTTTCCAACATCATGCAATGGCTCAAATGGCAATATCTCATACTTGTCACTGTTTATCAAAGCTAAGGTAGCAAGTGGATTTAGGTAGAGAAGGGCAGCCACTCTCTGCACTGCATGAAGCTTATCAGTCAGCAACTTCTTCATATCATCAACTGTTTCACCCTCGTATACCTTTCTACTGTTCAACTCTTTCTGTAATTCAGCTTTCTTCAATTAAGGTGGCTCAATACAGTTTTCAAAAATTCAGGTGTTTAACAGTTTGACATGTTTAAACTATGCATTTTTAGGATTTATTCAGCAGATATTTTTTTTTTATATATTTTGATAACTCTACTTTCAAATTATATTAGTTATAGTAACAGATAGTTCGTTGCTATGACGACATATGTGTACGAAATTCACTCCAAAATGGCCTATCATCTCGTATAGTTGAAAAAAAAGCATGGTGACCCCCAATTTTTTTTCGTGCGTTATTTTACTTGGACGAAAAGCTAACAACTGGCAAAATATAAAAAATTCTGTAATGCCATTTTTTTGAAAAATGCGAAAATGTCACATTCTTCTGTAAAATTTTTTTGGCGTTACAGAATTTTTTAATTTTTTGCATGATGAAAGTTTTTAGCGGTGCAATACTGCATGCAAAATTTGAACATAGGTCACCAGACAAAATAAAGAGATATAGCGCATTGTTTTTCTAAAACGGAAAATTCTAGTGCGAGCAACTGCTCACATAAGGTCATTTTGGAAGTTCTTTCATTTTGTTAATCAGTTTCCGCGACTTGTGTGTAAAAATTGTCACCCGGTTTTTAATTCGCGATTCTTGAGCCAGAGTTTTTGTTTCCTTCCAAGGTTTTCTGATGAGCAATGGCACCTTCGAGAATCAGCTTTTGTCGATCATTCAAGGAAATGTGCGAGCACCTAAAGCTGTAATCAAGTTCATAGATTCGGTTAGTGTATACTCCACACACTGAACAATAGAAATTTCCTCCCTTTTGCTGGCCACACTTGTATTGCTGGGCTGGGTTATCACCATGGTTATCACATCTACAATTTCATCTCCTTCACTTGTGAGTGGCAAACTGATTTCGTCTAAGCATTCCAACCTGGAGTCAACATATGACAACTGCTCAACATCTGAACTGCTGGATCTGGCAACTATGTACACTTCGGGAGATTCTACATTAGTTTGAATGTCGACTTTTCGTCGTTTTATTAATTCATATTCCTCATTAGTATAAAAAACAGCTCAGTTGTACATCAATGAAACCATGAAAATTAAATGACTGTGGTTTGCAAATGTAGAAAGATCATGCCATATTTTCAGATTTCGAGTGTGTGAAATTTCCTTCAGCTTTGCTCTCAAGACTTCTGCATCATCCGATTTGCAGAAAACAGCATTTACCTGAGATAACCTTTTTGTCAGTTCTTCCTTTGACATATTAGAGAATTCTTTATCAGAAACGTTTCTCATATAACATGCATGGGACTTCAGAAAATGTTCCCTTACTACAGTTAAAGGCAGGGGCGGATCCAGGATTTTTCGTACGTTAGTCAACAGGGCCTTTTTTAAGGATTTTCCCGTGGGGGGGGATTTTTTGAAAAGGGACCTTTCTGTGAGATAATATATTACAGGGAGATAGCAATGGCTGAAGACCACGTGTGCGCCGAACATACCATGCACGCATAAATGAGGGGGGTGTACTCCCCTAGAAAATTTTTGAAATTTGAAGCACAGAAATGTCATTTCCTGCATTCTGAGCATCCAAATGCGCTCCAAAATGTATACTAACTATACTTGTATTTGAAATAAAAGAAGGAAAAAACCCACAAAAAGTACTGAAAAAAATATTAACCATAATTAATCATTACTTATTAGAGGACGATCCCAATGGTCACGTGTGTGGGGTTGTACTCCCCAGAAAATTTTTGAAATTTGAAACACGGAAATGCCATTTCCTGCATTCTGGGCATCCAAATTTGCTCTAAAATTTATGCTAACTATACTTGTATTTGAAATAAAAGAAGGAAAAAATGCACAAAAAGTAAAAAAGAATATTAACCGTAATTTATCATTATACTTATTAGAGGGGGATACCAATGGCCGAAGGCCACGTGCGTGGGGGCATAATCTCCAGAAAATTTTTCAAATTCGAAACCTGGAAATGCTCTTTCCTGCATTCTGAGCAACCAAAAAATAAAAAATTATTAACAATAATTTATCATTACTTAGTGGTAGAAAAACGTAAAAATTTAGATCGATTTTGTTAAACAAAGACCGATAAAGCCTAAAACTTACTTTCCGTTTATTTATTTGATCTTATTTGTTATTCTTCGCTGGTTTGTTGGTATAAATTTAGGAAAAAGGGACTTTTCCTGGGGGGGGGGGGCAAAATGTGATTTCGTGGGGGGGGGCACAAGCGGGGACAAATGCCCCCCCCCCAGCTTGTATGTTAAAAAAGGCCCTGATACTTGTGTATATCAGTATATGCAAGGTTACTTTCTGTGGGGAGATGAAGAGAATACTTGCTAGACTGTTCTTGTAGAAGTGTACGTTTGTTCTATACTAGTATACGTTACAAAAATAAACGTTTATATGCTTCATTTACCAGATTCTTGCCACAAGTTTGTATGTATGTATAGCACAACAGTTGTGATTTTGTCAGCTCTTGCTATACTATAGTCTAGAGCAATTCGCTATTTCGTGCTACGAAGCTTAATCATGCAAATTATATGTACGAATGATTGAGTTTGGGAGAAAACAATGCAAGTTCGTAATGGACGCAGATTTCTGACAGTTCAAGCGAAATATAGGATCAAACGAAGAAATGGCAGATTTAGGTAATTAGGACATCACAGATTGAGATGACGGGAAATGTGCGACAAGGTAAGAAAATGAACTGGGGATTTAGGAACCAGGTTAGAAACATCAAATACTTGCAGTCTCGATAAAAAGTGACCTGCTGGTCGCCCGTTGACCCGTAACTCCATGTTAAATGAAGCGTGAAAACTTTCCGAAGATAATAAACTTTTAAAATTTTTTCCGATGTTACAATATTCGAATCAAATGTAACATGTAAATTGATTAACTGTATATAAGACAAGGGAATAAATGTGACAAGTTATCCTAAATGAATAGTAATAAATCAGTGACAGTGATATATAAAACGTCGACTTACGGTCGCTATTTTCAATGTAGGCCCATCTCTTCTCGACTGAATGTTTTGAAGGTCTTCCAAAAACAAAATGAACGCAAAGACATGCCACAAAAATCTTCAGAGTCGAAAACATCTTCAGTGTGTTTTCTCTTTCCAAATTATAGCAATAAGATCTCAAAATCTTGTCAATTTTTTGCCTTCTGTTGCGAATAACGGTGATGAGATCATAAGTGTGATGACGTTATAGGTAAATATGTCACAGTGATAGACAGACTATAGACGAGCGGTTATTTCAAAAATTAAGTGAAAAATTAATATGGTAAAAACAGTTCAAAAAATCTTGAGAAAACAATAACAATCTTGATTACTTTACTTTCGTGTAAAGACAATAATCTTGTTGACAATCTTGTACGAATATTAGCCACACAAAAAATCGACTGTTTTAAGGCAAAAGACAAACCAAATTATCTAGGTTCTTTCCGTGAGGTAAACGTTTTTGTTGTCTTTGAACCCAGCAGAGCACTGTGATTCATAAAAACAATCAGAAATCTTCCTGTCAGTCTCTTTAATGCAACAAAACTGCAACAAAAAGTCAAAAACATCTTGAATCATTCGCATCAAGATTCTGTCTTCTGATAAAAAAACAATTTCAAAAACAACCAACAATATTCAGAATCTTCTTCAATCTTCAAATAAAATACGGTTGCTGTTGTCAGCACACGATACACAAAGAACACGTTGTCTAATTAGATAATCATATTGAAAACAACAAGAATGATAAAAAAACAAAACTACTCTCGTCTATTGTTTGGTGAATCTAGGCCACCATGCCTGTGGAATGATCTTCAATTAAATGTAATCCAGATGACACCAATAATATTATGGTAGCTGTCTGGTGATCTTTTTATGCCTAAAATGAACAGAAGAAAGTATGAGTACCAATAACGATCTGGGGGTCAAAATTTGAAATTTATCTCGTCACGACTTTAGCTTCACCTAGACTCGAGTTTTGAAACACTGATCGTAATTTATTTGAGGATGGTATCTATTTAATTAAACCAGAGTACTTAGGGAAACATAATTTTCAAATGAATTCATAAAATCCCACATTCTTCATCTTCGTCAGTATTGCTACTCTGTCAGACTTTTCAATAGCAAAAGTGAAAATTTAAACGTGTCTATTATTATACCTGGTTAAGCTGAACTCGTAACCTTCAAATCCAGATAACATTATCAAACTCATAGCATTATCATAGCCATCTCAAAATCATAGCATAATCATAGCCATTTCAAACTCATAGCATTATCATAACCATCTCAAATTGTCCATAACATTATCAAAACTTTCATAGCCCCATAACATGACCATCAATCATTCAGATATTTCAAGATTGGTAGATTTACATAGCATGGTATGAACATAGCATAGCATATCATGAATTCATAGCATATTTCATAGCCATCAAGTTTGAAAATTTCATGGCAG